AGAGAGCTGAGAAGGAACAGTTAAGTCAAAGTGATGTAGCAATATGGGAACAGAGGTAACAGTACGATGACTTGGAAAGGCTGCTGGGGAAAGCAACAGCAACAAGGACAGGCTCCAGTCACATCTCCATGACACCATGCTAAACTAAAAATAAGGCAAGAGAAGAATTCTCCATCATCCTGCTGGCACAAAGGGAGAGAACAGCTGCTGAACATTGCTAAACACTTGACCCTAAAAATATCGCTACCCTCATTCACCACTGTGTTAGTGACTGGCCTACAAGCCAGCCAAGGACTGTACAAATCTATGCAAGAAACCTCAGCCCCTGAGTTTTCATCTGTAGAGCAACAAGACCACTCTGCAGAGAAACTGCTTACAAGCAGGACAGCTCCTGGGAAACAAGAAGTCCTCACATATTAAGACACAGTCCATTACAATGTGCACAGTACTGCTTCAGTGCCAACATTTGCTACGTTGTTACATCTCACATACTCACAGCATGTCTAGCCCTATGAGAATTGGGTTCGGAACTTCTGTTAGGTGTCATCCAGCTCTTCAGGACTGTAGCGTTGTCTTCGGTGCCTTAAACAGAGACCTTCCCAGTCATCTGAAGGAGCGTTAAATTACTACAGACAAGCAGTAACTAAGTCTCAATGACTGTTACAGCCACATGCACCTCATGGTGAAGATGGCTCCCCATGCATGGTGGCACACTACAATACGGACACTGGTTAATATGGCCCTAAAACACATTTTTCCTCCCCTAAATCCCAGCATTTAGTGCGTGGGCACTCATAAAAAGTTAAAGCAAAATCACCTTTTGTCCAGGGACTGTGGCTGTAAAGAGAATACATAACTGCTCCATAGCACTGCTAGTGGTGACATTGTAGATAGGGACAACGCACAAGTCTCACCTGCTGGTGGACTGAAGATAGGAAGATAAGGAATACAGCCTCTTGGCAATGTAGTGACACTAGAAAACGAAAGCTGAAACTATAAATCAGTTCCTCCAATTTGTTCACCAAAACAACACCCAAAGCAACCCCAAACAAGGAATAAAAAGCTGCTACTCCAATTTAATTTGAATAAATTAATATTTCATCCAAGTTCTTCAAAAACAGGTGCGGACCAAATTAAGCCTTCGCTTTCCAAGCAAATTCTGACAGTTACACTACAATCCTGTATTTGACTGTAAACTGTATTTGCTCAAAAAGCAGAGCAGTCAGTACATCATTCCAATGGCCTGCAAAAGTTTATTGCTGATGTCAGAAAAAGTTGATCTGGGGACAATTCCTATTTATCAAGCCACAAGTTCCACTGAGAACAGAGGTCAACAGGAAAACTGGCACTGCTGACTGCCATTTAAATTCAGTTTCCTCAAATACACCTCCTTTCTTTCTCAGTGCACTTCTGTAGTGACCACAGTGCAACTACTGGATTCATCCAAGCACTTCAAAACAACTTAAAGCTAAATCAGTTTCCCAGTTATGACAAGGACACCATGTGACCACATGTGGCATGCCAGGTATCCCAGATCAATTCTAATCCTGCCTGATGTGCTTTCCTCCAGAACCGTGGGGTTTATAGCATACTGCACTAAAATAAGATTCTGGTTTATGAGCAGCTGCTGCTGAACAGCAGACAGGAAGTTAAGCTGCATTAGAAACGAGATGGAGAATAGTATTAGACAGGGGAGGGGAAGTAAAACAGCTTCACACACTTCTTCAGTGTGGTAACTGATATTTATACAACAAAAAGGAACACTGAGAGCTAACACACACTGAGGCTAGAAAGCCCAGGCTATACACATGGCTTTGAGTTTAAGAAATAAAAAACACAAATACTTTATCTTACCATAAAAAGTACAAAATAAACTACGGGGAAAAAAGAAAAAAGCTGATCTCACCTCACAGTCCATATCAAAACAAGGGGACTTTCAATAAAGCGTCAAGAAACGCTGACACCCTCACATACACACTGAGCCAGGAGTTCATATGGGATCAATATAGGACTGCAGTAAAAATTAACAAAACTCCACAAAGTACAAGGGAACTACTTTAAGTAATTAACGATACTGGAGAACCAAGGAGAAAGTGAAGCTCTGTTTCACTCCAGGATTCAATTACAGGAGATTTCAGGCACCAGATGACTCTACTACATTGTTTCGACTCTGAATGTTTTAAAAACTTCTATTCACGCATTTGCGAAGGAAAGAAGAAATCAGCATTAGTCAACCACAGACAGGACCAGGAAGCCTCTGCTGATTAAGGTACCCAGAAAGAGGACATGCATTCCACCTGACTCCCTCCCCAACCCATACAAGACAGTAACAAAACAGTGTTCTATGGTTTTCACGGTCGAGGAGTCCAGGGAGCAATTTTTATTGCTATGTGTATTTTTGCTCATAGCAAAGGAACACAACTACTTTTGCTACGGGACAAAGAGAGCATAAGACACGAAAGCCACTTCAAATAAAAGGAAGACATTTGTGTTTAAAATGAGCAGAAGAACGATGAGAACTCTTAGCTATTCTATTTTTGAGCAGATCAGGTACTCACTAGAGGCCTTCCCACCCATCGCAAACATCAGAAACGTCACGCTGGAAGTCAAATTAAGCATAGGAAAAACCCCCGGGTGAGGAAATACCAGACTGAAAAACCTCAGGCCGATGAAGTGAACGTTCAGAGTCCTGAGTTCCAGGTGGACTCACAAGGGTCTCTCTCTTTCGGAAGCTCAGCCATTTAGAGGTAATTCTAGCAGATGCCGAGCTGCTGACTCGGTCAATTTGTGTACAAAGCTGCCTGGGCACAACAGCAACGCACAAACTCTGGATAAACTATTTTGGGCCACAACTTGCTTGGCCAAACGCTGAACCAGAATTCCAGAATAGAAATATTCTAGCACAGTAAGTTTATCTACATGCTAGATCTCAAACTAATGCCTAAAATAATAATTAACTGACAGCTCCCCCCATAGCCCTTTTTATTCACATAATTAAAAACATGCCCTACTGGCTGAAGTCCAGCGATGAACAAACACACATTATGCACTGCCTCAAGAATCAAAGCTCATAAAACAATGTTGCACAGAGCTACAAAAAATCACATGGTTTTAAGAGACTCCTGAAGCCCGTGAAAGAAATTCTTAATAAAACTAGGCTACAGGAATCTACGGAAAAGAAAAATCTCAGACACTTCAAATGATAAAACACTTAACTGTTTTGCTGATAGCGTAAGCAGCTCTCTGCCATTCTGCTTACTTCTCTCTGAAGTTATGGGAGTGGCTTTCAGACAAGTTTAATTCCGTGCAGAGCAAGCCTGCATTCACATGTGATTTACAACAGAAAGCCTGATTACAACGGCGAATCTGTGCTTTGTTCATATTGGAGCACAGCTCCAGTCCCATTTAACAGCTTGTCCACCTCCAGCCTGATGCAGATGAAATATTCCAAGCGATTTAGTGAAGCACTCTAGAATTTACTGTAAACAGACATAAAACAGGGAGCGGCACACATTAATGAGGCTCATGTTCTATTTTAATACGCAGCACGTCTGCCCAGCTCTTACACCAATTATGACAACGCAAGAAAATGGACGAAATACTTCTCAGTATTTGAAGAAATCATTCAGAGAAAACAAGAAGTTAGAAGCATCACAGAAGTAAATAAAATTATTTTTCAACTGGCAAGAAGAGAGACTTCAGTCTTCTTACACATCACAAGAAAAATTCCTCATTCAATTGTGAGCCAGAATCAATATTTTTCAATAAGAGCCAGATTCAATTCAGTTTCCTTAGCAAAGCAGTCGGCACCCAGCATAGCCAACTTCACTCCTTCTCCCCCAATTTGTCAAGCTTCTGGAAGCCTCACAGGACTAAATGGAAAACAATTTTTTTTTCCAAAAATCCTCATTAACTCAAATTCCAAATACCATATCTGCCCTCAGGAATTTTTTTTTTCTTCCAACCAGGTTTTTCTAGTATAGGAAATGTTTATCTTCCACCTAGCAGCATTTAAAAAGTATGCCACAATATGCTGCTAAACCTGAACACGCTTTGGATATTTCCCGCAGCCTGTTAGATTTGGTTGCTTTTGCTGCTACTTTTATAAGAGTGGGCATAAACTTCTAGACAAAAGGAAGAACTTTACAGCCTCTTGAAATCTTTGAAGTCAAAAAACTACACAGAGTAAAGGTTGAGGGGTCTCAAGTGCTGGTTCAAACCCACTCTGGTCAGCAGGAAGTCTCCCATGGACTTCAGCCACCTTTGGATTTACAGTAACAGGTAAGAGACAGCACCTACATTTTTAAAGGTATGTTTTTCCTCCAGAAACAGAACCAGCTATAAGTGATTTCAGTAACTTTACTCTAACCAGACTTTAAATCTAACACTGTTTCACAGTAACATCACTGTCATTAAGGAATTCGCGCTTTCAATATCAGTTCATCAGGCAACCACCACAGAAAAGAAAAATAAAATCATAAATGAACTTTGAAAGCAATTCTTATTCTGTATTATCACTCACGGTGAAACTGAGGAAAAAAAAAAAAGATTCAATTGAACAGCACACTGAATTCTTGCTGTATCAACTAGCAGCCTGAGACCCAATGAAGTAACCTGTTCAGAATACAAATTCACATTTGTTGATGCCAACTTGCTCGCTGAGGTCTAACTCCTGTACCGCTCTGGAAGCACCTACTCCATATTAGCAAGTTAAGCAGATCCCCAAAATTCCATTGTACCACGACCACAGAAATAAAGCTCTGCTCTTCGAAATAATACAAAGCCACTGGGACTGGCATGTGTTTCCCTCCAAAAATATGAGCATACTTTAAAACAAAGTGGTATCAGAGTTTACCCTGCCAGCTCACACTTGTACTCGTATGACTACATGCAAGCAGAAGTGAGATACCAACAATTCTGCATCATACATGCGATCCGTACCAACGAGACCGTCAGCACAGCATAAAAATGTCTTTCAGTGGCAGCAATTTCCTTCTTACCTTGCCTCCTTCTCTCTCAAAGTCGACATACTCCCGGGTCGGTGTCTGCCGCTGCTCCCCCTGCCAGCTGGCCGGAAAAAACTGGAGAGACAGATTGGTTCCCGTGGCCACAAAAGCCTTTTAGAAAAATCAATACAAACAGGATCAGGGAGCAAGACATTACATAAATTATGCAGGCAGTCATTTATTTTTACATCAGTTTATGTCTTAAGCTAGGCAGCATAGAGAATGCTTAAAGTCAAAAACATGCACTCATCATTTTTCTTAAGTATTAAGTTACAAACATCTGATTCCATTTTGACAACATTTGCCATTGGCTGCTTTGGATATAAAATACAACATGGAATCAATACTCCTTTCAAATCAGTTTTGCTGACATTAGAATCTGTCATTTCGGTTCTGTACAGATACCCTACACCAACTTAGGATCTGAAACATTAAAAATTGACCATGCTTTTTAAAGAGCTTGCATATCTCTAAAAAGAAGTACTTCTGAAGGAAAATGAACTCCAGAGACCTGTTACTAGGAACAGCTTTGTTGAAAGACAAGAACACGCTTCTTAGAATATATACTTGCACCTGGATATACAGCTCTCTGAGCTGAAACAGATATTCCTTGTGTACCGTCCACAGACAAGTAAGAGTCAGCACAGCTCTATTAAGCATTGCAGGACTAAGTCGTGCTGTCACATTAAGACACCAGTGAAATCCAAGATGCTGTGTCAGAATAAATCAGAGCAGGAATTCTCAGCAGCAGCCCTTTGTAAAATCATTAAAGGAACTGAATTATTGGGAAAAGCATACGCTGCTACCAAGTGAATATTTCCTACGGCTTCAAATGAAAACAAGATTCTGTTGTCTTTACAAACTCTCTGTATTTATTTGCACACCTTATCAGCTCCATGGAGTGCACAGCAGGCCAACTTCTAGATGGGGAGGCGTTTTTTTTTTCTTCCTGCCAATGGAAACCTGATTCAGGGTATTTCCCTTCTGCGGTACGCTGCAGTGTGTCCTGTAAGCATGCAAATCCTGCAGGGTACTGCCAGAACAACTCCGCTCAAAATCTCAGGGTCAAATATATTTTGTTGCAGTCAAACAATACTGTATTGATCACCAGGATCGCTTAGGTTTAAACAGTCATTATCTCAGAATACAGTTTTTCTTGAAAGCCATAGGAACATCCCCCTAACAGCTGCCTTTTCCAGACAAGCAGATCCCTTTCAAACAGCCCAGAATTCAGCAACTTGGTGGTATAAATATGACTGCACTTCTATCTATGACACAATAGCTCTACATGTTATTTAAGACAGTTCCGGTCATGTACTGCAACACTGTCACAGGATTAATACCTCCCATTTCGAAAGTAGAAGTGCTTTGTCTTGACTTTTCCCTCTCAGCAAGGGAGACTAACACTCTGCAATCACATCCCATTCCAAACTACTTTTAAAAGATTTTTTAAAATCCAATTTTATTTCTTTTACCTCCTGTTAAGCCCATTCTCAGTGCCATTAAAAGCGAAGAATCAGTTCTGCTGGCACTGAAGGGATGTTGCACTGCACATTAGTATTTGTTTGCCATACGATACCCAGAGGCACATTTCAATCCATGGAACAGAACCTTCATGGAGGCTACGCTTGCACATATATAAAGAATCAAAGCTGCGACGGCTGCAGACCATCAGCATTTGATTATCTGGCATTATCCCCTTCACTATTCCAAGTAATTCTGCTTACATACAAACAAACAAAAATACCCAACACTTCTGACTCACCCTCACCACTTCGCCTGTTCAAGAACTACTTTCCCATCCCCGGGTATCTTTAGCAAATTCATCTTGTCTGCTCCTGAATTTAGGCACTTAAAACCAAGTGTCAAGGAGCGAGATCCTGGAGTGCAGAGCAGACGTCTGCAGCGCTCCAGACTGCTCCAGATCCCACAGGCCCTGAGGGCACTGGGCAGGAGAGCTGCACTCGCTCCCTGGGAAACAGAGCGAGATGCAGAAGCACCCCATGCCTAAACTTGTGCTGGAGGACCGTGAAAAAGCATGGGAAAATATTAGAGAAAAAAAGAAAATGAAAGTACGCAAATTTTCACATCCTCACAGAGCCGTGCAGGCAACACGTAGACTATAAGCGCCTCAGAAGCTGTATGGCAAACTTACTCTCTCGATTTTTGAAGCCCATTTCCTCTCTTTGTGCAGATGAAACCGACCAATTAAAACACCCTGCCTCAAAATCATTGGTCGGTACTGAAAAATGCAAGAATGGCCTCACTAGCAACCACACAGAACTACCCTGGACCCAGCATTTTTGTTGTTGTTGTTACTAAACAAATAAATACATGAGAAGAACAATAATCAGACCACCACTCTGGTAATAAAAGTGAAATTGAGTACATTGTTATTTGCTACGCAGAGCCTTTTAAAGCTCAGTCTGAAGTGCAAGGAGCCACCAGGTAGCATGAGGGTGGCACGACCTACATCCAGGCAGCGTAAACGCACGCAAACACCTTCCAATCAAGCACAGATCAGAAGCCTCCAAAAACAAAATATCCATGTAATGTTATTCTCAAGTTATAAAAGCAATTTAATTCCAGTGAAGCAGAAACCTGATTTGGTATTCCACATGCTCTTTTCCTACTAATATTGGTAATTACTTTCCTTACTCAAAAAGAGTTATTTGCTAAAAGGAAGCAACAACCAGCCAGTTCTAAGTTAGAGCCTTCAGCTGCTCTCTGTTTTCATTTTTTGTCTGTTGAAAAACACGTAAGGTCATTTGCTGAGGCTCCTTTTGGAGATAAAAGACTAAATCCTTGATGTCTGGAAAAACATTCAAGATGAAAAAAAATAAAGAGACGGCCAGCTCTTCTTAACATCAGTCATTACACACACTGCGTCTCCAAATAAACCCGACTACTTGTGCCTTGTTCACAGAACAAAACCAGATGTTACAGATCAAGAAATGTAGAGGCTGTTTTATAATTAAGTCGATGAAAAAATATGTAGAACAGACATCGCTGGTGGCTCCCCTTCCAAGGGATAGGGCTCTGGCAAAGACAGACAGCATGCTTAGAAGTGCAGAGGTGAAACTACAGTGATTTCTCAATTACAGAAATAACGGCATACACGGCATTAGAAAGCCGGTCAGCAGCTGAACGCCTTTCATCCCCTTTTATTTGCCCTTCTGAAAGGAAGGACTGAGGCACTCCACACTTTCACCTGCTCAGGAGCCCCACAGGCCGGCAGCCCGCCTCCCTCACCTCCCCATTGTTTCCCTGGCGACTTTTTAACGCCAGCAAACACACACACACAAGGAAAATTGAGTGCAAAAACACAGCAGCACAGGATCCCAGACCACAGGGCACGAGCATAGTTTAGTCTAGTCAAAATGAAGTTCCTCAGTAAAAGGCTATCCTGCTCACAGCCAGCAGCGAGCGCGGTCCGTCGCGGCAATTAGCGCTCAGCTACATCGCAGCGTGGCTGTGCAGGCAGGGTGTCATCGCGAGCCGAGAGCCAAAGAGCCGTCCCAGACCGAGCGCGGGGTCTGCCTGCGGGAAGGAAACTCCTACCTCGCCCCGTCATGAATGCAGAAGGGCCGACCCGTGCGTGCGCCCAGCTCCGGGCGGCACAGCGGCGATCGAACAGGAAACAGCCGCCACCTCGCCGCGCTCACGGCCACGCCGCGCCCGGCCGCGGCTCCGAGGAGCGCAAACCCGCCGTCCGGCGAGCGACGAGGTGAGCTGCCAACGCCGAGTTTGAGAAGCATCCGATCGAGCTCGGGCGAGCATCACCCGGCTCGGGCGGGACTTTTCTCCGGCGCCTTGTGGACGGCGTTACTCGCCCCGGAAAGGCGCCGTGCCCCTGCGGGCTGCGGGCAGCGCGGCCCGAGGCGCGGACAGGAGCCGGCAAAGCGCCCCGCGGACAGCACGGCGCGGCCCGGGGCGGCACGGCCGGCACTTACGATTTCGGAGCGGCCGTCGCGGCAGGCGTTCTGGAAGCGGGCCTGCCTCTCCTCGTGGGGCCGGTCCCTGAAGCCGGTGTACTTGATCTGCGGGAACAGGGCGCAATCAGAGCCGCGCCGATAAGCGCGGCGCAGCGCACGGACCGCGCTCCCCGCCCTCCCCGGGCCCTCCGCGCAAACTTTCCGCCCGCCGCCGCACCTCGCACTCTCGGCTCAGCTTCCTGAAGAACTCCTCGTTCTCGAACTTGCTGCGCTGGTCGGGGACGACCCGCGGCATGGTGCCGGGCCGCCGCTGCCCTCCGCCCGCCCCGCGCTGTCCCGGCCCCGCCACTCGCCTCGCCCTTTGTTAGCCCCCGCCGGAGCCCCCCCCCCCCCCCCCCTCCCTCCTCCCTCCTCCCTCCCTTCTCCCCTCTCCTCCGCTCCTCCCGCCGCGCGCGCACAGCCGCCGCTGCCGCCGCCCCCTCCGCTCTCCCTCCCTCCCCTCCGACTTCCTCCCCGCCTCGCGAACTCCGCCGAACAGCCGCGCCATTCACAACTCCGCGCCGCCGCCGCGCATGCGCCGCGCCGCGCCCCGGGGGCTCGCGCGCCTCCCTCGGAGGCGGGAAGGGGGGCAGGCGGGAAGCGGGGGACGTCCTCCGCCCGCGGCGAGCTGTCCCTCGGGGCTGGGGCGGGCGGGAGACCCTCGCGCCTCTGCGCCGAGGCGGCTCCCGCGGTGCTTTCCGGCTTCCTATTGCGGGGGAAGAGGCCCCGGCACCCAGCGGGCGCACTCAGCCCTAGAGGCGGGCGCAGTCTTTCGGTCCTCGCCGGTCCCTTCAGCCCCGTCAGCTCTACGATGGGCACACCTCGGCCTCCCTCAGTCTCTTCAGCCCTCTCGGTTGTTTCAGCCACGTTCAGCTCGCTTCCATGCCCAAAACACAGCGCCGAGTGCTGCTCGCTTCAGCCCTTCACCAGGGCCTCCCTGCAGGACGCACACCACCTGTCCCAAACCCTTTTATTCCACCCTCACCTCGGTTATTAACTTTTCCTGCAGCCCTCCGCTGCTCCTCGGCAGCCAGCAGTGCCACGAGGCTGTAGTGCCCTCGCCAAAAGCACTCGGATAGCTTGGTGCCTATTGCCAGCGTAAAAATATTAGAGCGCATTAGATCTTTTGATAAAGAAATGAGGTTTTCTAATCTCTCAGCGTTACAATCTTACCTTTACACGTACTCATGCAAATTGGAAGAGGGCGATGCTAAGGTTAGCCAGGAGGCACGATCTGAATCAAGTGCGAGCAAATTAATAAAAACGAGGGAAGCGTCTGTATTCCTTAATTGTGTACGGACTTCATCAAGAAACTGCTGATGTTATGTTCACGTGTAGAAAAGGATTATATGGGAAGTTCAGTACATTTAGGCAATAACTCTGGGTGCGTTAAAGCTGTGCCTTCCCACTGTCAGTGTGTTACTGTGCTGCAGATACGGTCAGAAGTTGAAAGTTTAAAAACATTTTTTTAGTAATAACTGAATCTGAAACTAAACTGCACGGAGATCAAAAACATAGAAATGTTATATATGATCTTGATTAGTTTAGATTAATACCAACCCTTAGGCAAGACTCTCGTGAATGCCAGCCATATTTAGAGGTGCCCAAAAAAGAATTTAAAAATAAAAAATAAAAAATCCATATCACTATTCATCTTCTATTCATCTTGCAGCAAGATCAATACTGAGTGCATGGACCTGCAGGAGAGCTGCCAAGTCCATCGGGTAGAAATCTACCTTCTTAACCTCTAGTAATCTGTCACCACTTGGAGCACATCACCCAGCTCCCGCCTCCCCCATGCCAACGGAACAGGCCTTTTTCCAAACATTTGCAAGAAAATGAAAAAAGTACTGAGCTCAAAAGTGAGTGGTTGTGAAGCCCTGAAATAAGAACCAGGAGCAGTAATCACCTAGCAAGTTGTGGGGTGTTTTTGTTTGTTTTCTTTTTTTGTTGTTGTTTGCACGTTTTTGTCCTTGTCCCAAATTTTTTTAAGATTTTGCTTGGAAACAACAGCGACTCTGACTGCTTTCCTCCCCACAGCCCTTTGTTTAGTGTTTGTCATCCTGGGGCTCTCTTCACTGCAAAGTTTTCGTTTTAAATAAAGTGAGTCAACATTATTGGGAAGTCTGCAGCAGATCGGTCCCTGCCTCTGCCTGTTGCTTCCCTGGGTCTGATGCAAAAACAGAACAGCAGGCAGTGACGAGATGGAAAATGGCCCGACGGTACCATGTTATTCTTCTGGGTCTATCCGGTTTTTCTCTAGGCTGAGCTGGCTTTGAAAAAATGAACTTCTGCTCTGGAGAATATCTTCTTGGTGAAGGGATTCCTGTTAATGCTAACAGATATAACTGGGGAAGAAAAATAATGTTGACTGGATTTCTCATCACAGGAAGCATATAACACTGGACCAGCTGTTCTCCTCACTACCCCTGTGCAGCCCCAGTGCCTTAACAAGGCAATTTAGGTCTCGAAGATAGGGAAGTTCCTACTTTTTTATTCCTATCCTGACAGGGGAGAGGCATACGAATTAACACCTTTGCTGCATGAAAGGCTGCACATAATTCCAGGAGGTATTTACCCTGTTTGGCCACAACAACTGGCCCCTGGCCAGGCAGCCAAAAGCAGCTTTGCAGGTGGTAGCTGGGCAAGATGGGAGGGAAAGCTGCGGTTATCATGTTGGAGATGGGATACAAACTTGTGGGTATTCTGTAGCTTACCACACTGCTTTTTGCTTCTACTTTTTAGTACCGTATCAACAACGCATGAAAACAAGCTAGAATCTTCTTGCTTGTGCTGTACCAAGCAAAAGCTCTTCCTAAAGGAACCTCAGTGATGTTTCTGCAAGCCCTGGTGCAGCTCAGGCTGCTCCAATGTTAGCAGAATTAACTTGGTCTGCAGATCCTTGTGCTGTTGATTCACAAGATGAGACCTTCGTCTGTTCATCAGGCCTCTGGGTGAGTCACCTTCAGAAAACAGAAATGGTCAGACTTGGAGGCACGCTGCCTTCAGAGCCATTCTTTTCAAAATAAGATCTACTGTGTTTAACAGGGCATGGAGAACTGAGGAAGAATGCTACTAAGGATTTTCAGAGTGGATGTTTTTGAGAAGGGGAATTTTCTTCCAGTGACAAGTCTTGTGCACACTGTTCTTACCTTCTGTACCATGTTTTTGAAATTTCTGATTTCCCCTGGGCAGCAGTATTTGATGAACAACTGTGTGGTACAGATGTTATATCATTCTCTAGACTTTGTGCATGTGAAACACTAATAAGTGAGACTCCTATGTATCCATTGATCTATGGCAGCTGCAGCATAATCAAACACCACTGTTATGTATATACAAGCTACTCTATGATTATATATCCATTAATAAACTGTTTGCAAGATATAATTATGCACATTAAGTGTGAAATGCAATCCCCTTACGCAAGGTCTATGCTAATGAGTTATACAAAATTCATAGAGAGAGGGAGAAATAGAGCTGACGAACTGATGTTGGTCCCAGTCTGATTTTTATTTCCTTACAAATACAGCTGATGCTCTCAACTGGAATATTTTCACTGAAGCCCTCCCACCAGTGACCTGATCAGTTCATGGGCACACAGTCACAAGCAGAATCCATCCCAAAACGTTATAATTCGCCCACGAAGCGGCCTTTCATGCCTCGCCTGCATAAATCAGCACATGGGTCTATCTTATCTCCTGACTCCTAAACTAACCCTAATGAGGCGTATGGGCAGCACAGAGGGCCACGAGCCACTGAAGTCAGTTCATGTCTGTGGATGCACATTAGACAGAGATGCATATGTGTACCCCAAATGCAACAATATACAGCTTTTCAGGACTTGGCTAAGCCCAAAGTTAATACCTAGAGATCTTACGTAGCACATGGAGATAAGAGCCATACCGCAACAGCTAAACAAAATTTTGCATACTGAGTGGGAAGCTGCCTACCAGTCAAAAAAATGCTAAGCATGGCAGGTATGAGCAAGGAAGCAGCGCCTGATCTCTCTTTTCTCTGAACCAGTCTACGAGGCAGATGGATCTGTTCACTCCAGAAAACAAACCTGGAAAGCTTGTCCTAAAGGAAACTGCCAGCTGATGTTACTTGAACCATCTGAACGGACTCTCCCTTGTGGGAAAACAACTCCTGCCTGCCCTTGCTGTTCACAGGCATTTGGAGTACTCAGTATGTGGGAGACCTTCTCACACTGAAGTGCCTTCATAACCATGACCCCAACGCAGCAGTAGCTGTGTTCATATTCCTGCTTCAACCTAGATCAGAGGCAGAAAGAGCCTTGAATCTTCACAGGCAAGCCTACATGGGAAGGCAGAAAAGCAAGCATCTTTTCCACTCTGGCTATCTGGACACTTGCAAGGGCCTGTGCCATTCACTCAAATACACTCTTGTAAAATCTGTGTACAAAAAAATCACAAAAAAACTGGGGATATCTGCAACTGAAGTGGTAAAGTGTAACACTCGGTACACAAGTATGATGTAGCAAAAGCAGGCTCTGATTATTGAGCTTGGCACTGTCTTAGAAAAACACGATGCCAGAATGAACTGGAAATCTTTTTAAATTCTTTCAATTAACCAGGGAAATACAGACATTTTTCTAGAAACCAACACGAAATGAAACTTGAGAACATCAGAACCAATTAATCCTCCGATGAGGCAATGAGGTCTGAACTGCACAATTATTTGGAGAACTAAAACAGATTATCCCAGAAGGCTGCTTGACTTTTGTACTAGTTGGTGGGAACAGCAGTGATGAGTGAAGGAGGTGTACTTTTCTAGAACTCTGTTGCAATCTGTGTATGTTTTGACAGTGGAACTATGCAGCTTTCATATTAGAAACCGTTTTCCACTTCAACAGTTGTAGCACAAAGTGAAAAGAAGTACTGTGTGAAGTCAGAGTCTCTGTGGCCTGGTGAAACAGGGAGCAAAGCCAGGAGCCTTGTCCTGCTTAGCTTAGTCTGTTAATGGACTTGGGGCATCTCTCTTTGCCTCTTGTTTCACAGTTCCACCACCTATCAAACGATTTGTCATCCCCAGACAAAGATCTCAAAATCTCTATTTAAATAGCCAGGCTCTGTCATTATCTGTGATGTTGAGCAATGAGGAGAAAGTTTAACCGAGCACAAGATGTGACTCACTCAAGCCCACATACATAAAAGGATGTGTTTAAAAACTGTCTTTGTGAATTTAGTTCTAAGGATGCTGCTAAGGCCATACAAGCCATAATTACAGCACTTGATCATATGCCGTTCAGGCAGAGTTT